CCTCGGGCTTCCTGTAGTCAGCCACTGGTCAGTTTCAGCAGTGGCTGAATCGGGACGCCAGTTCTGACTTACGTACAAATTCATCTTAAGAACAAACCTACAGTTCCTATCTTGTACGTAACCCGGGGACTGCCTGTATAGGAAATGGGGGAAAAATGAATTTACACTATAATGGCTCTCTTTGGTAATGTTGATCCCTTATTTGGCTCTTAAACTACTCAGAGTTGGATATTCTGATATGGATCAAAGCTTTGAGTGTTTCTAGAAAATCTTATTAGTGAACTAGAACACCAACAGTGCAATTATTTTTCTCTTCTCACTTATCCCAAACTCAACTATTTGAGTGGGGAGGCTATAATGGAAAAAAATTAAAGGGGAAGCTTTATCTTGGAACTTCTCTTGATCAAAAAAGGCCAAAATATCCCCATAGAATTACCTTCTCCTCTTGTTTTTGTCCCCCTTTCCTATCTGTGGGTTTTGTTGTTTCTCACTCCAGACTTTCAATTTCTTTCTTTCATCCCTGTTTTGGTGTGTGATATATCCTGGGATTTCTCTCCCTCCGCCCCTTTTTTTTAAATCTCTCATATAATACTTAATTGAGGAGGGTTTAACATGGCTCTCTTCAGTCAGCTTTCATAAAGTCATAGAAATTTAGGGCTGAAAGGGATCTCAAAGTCATTAAGTCCAGCCCCATGCACTGAGTCAGGACCAAATAATAATTGTCAACTTGTTGGTAAAAACTTACCTTCGAGGAAAATTTCGCAACCTCTCTTCCAGTGCTTGACTACTTTATACTATAGTTGTTATGCTTAAAAGAAGCACATGGGATCTTTTTCAGGGAGATAAGGCAACATGCAGCATTTATTGGTAACATAACAAAGTAATGCACGTGCACACACACACACCCGCATCTGTCTGTTGCAACCTATTGGCCAGGTAGGTCGAGTGCAAGGAGGGAGCTGGGTTCTTGTCAGTCCGGACTGATGCTCCATAGTCTTAGCAGGATGGGAACCCGAAGAACCATACAAGACACCCCATCCTTTAGAGGATTTTCCTTTCATGCAAGTCTATGCATTTTGCCTTGTCAGGCCTTAA